TGTGTCTCCCAACCTCTGTATCTCCCAGTCTGTGTGTCTGTCTGTGTGTCTCCCAACCTCTGTATCTCCCAGTCTGTGTGTCTCCCAACCTCTGTATCTCCCAGTCTGTGTGTCTCCTAGCCTCTGTATCTCCCAATCTGTGTGTCTCCCAGCCTCTGTATCTCCCAGTCTGTGTGTCTCCCAACCTCTGTATCTCCCAGTCTCTGTGCCTGTCTGGGCCCAACATCATTCACCCCATATGTGTGGAAAATATGCACTGTATGATAGCATAAGGTAGCTGTAAACTGTATTGTTCAGAACTCGAGTCTGTTTGCTCTCAAATTCTTCCTCCTTGTCCTCCAATAAGTGAACTGTATTTCATTTTAGAAGGAAATGGTTTCTCTTTCTGTCGATCTGTCTGCCGGTTTGTGTGTCTGGCAGGAAACGACTATCTGTATGTCCTAACCTTTGTGTCTTGTCTTCTTACACATTTTTGAGTTTTCTCCTTGCAAATTGAGTAAGGAGATTTTAGGTTTCGGTTCACAGCTGCTCAGTTTGTGATTATTGTCTGTCTTTCCCACAGAAATCTCACTGTATCCTCAAGACCGAGGATCCACACAGAGGTGAGAACTGATTCCTCCTCTGTCCCTCACTCCAATCCCAACCTGCCCAAGGGTCCCAAAACGTAAAAATACGCCGTGTGTCATAGTGAGTGGGGGACGGTCACCTGCTGTGTCTCTCAGTGTGGGTGTGGACAGTGACAGGTGTCAGTGTGGAAGCAGACTTGACAGGGGTCAGTGATCAGGGTGGATGTGGACATTGATGGGGGTCAGTGACGGGGGTCTGTGGTCAGTGACGGGGGTCTGTGGTCAGTGACTGGGGTCTGTGGTCAGGGTTAATGCGGACAGTGACGGGGGTCTGTGGTCAGTGTGGCTGCGGACAGTGACAGTGGGCAGCGTGATAACTCTGTCCCTCTCTCTCAGTGTGGATGCGGTCAGTGACGGGTCGGTGGTCAGGGTGGATGC